AAGCAAGCATTATATATACAACATGCACTCCCCATCGTGCATTTTAGCCGGAACATATTTGGGTTCATGCGCGATATGCCATGGAAATATGTACATACATATGCGCTGGTAAGGATGTATGTACTTGCGGTCCTCCCAATATTCCTAACGAATAAATCCCTCCGACTGGTTAGCATTTTTGGCAATGTTCACCATTTCTAGAAGGGGTGGCCGTCTAGGTATTGCACTTATCTTAATGAGTATTTGCTAAAACCTGGAAGAGAAAATTCAATATAAATTATTAATTAAAATGCTACAATAAATCCGTTCTGCCTCATGGAAAATAGTGAATGACATTTCACTTCATTCCAAATATTGCCAGAGGTGTGTACAAGATTTTACGATCTTAAAGTGAAAGTACATACCATCCATTGCGACAGCGTCACCGCCACCGTCAACATCACCGTCAACGATGCTTATGCGTCAAGTTACACACAATTCGTTTGACATTTCGCCCGAAAAATCATTAACTCGCGGATACTCTTTGCAAAATTTGCATTTTACTTTTTCACTTCCTTTATTAGGTTTTCCTCCATTATTTTTTACATTCAATATTTCCATAAATATTAAAATTTTCACAAACTGGAAAAATTTACGTTCAAACATGTAAACAAACCATTGAATAGTTGTCATTTGACGCAATCGCATAAGCAAAACCGAGAGTTGAGCTAATTTGTGCGGCACCGTCACCGTCAGCTTGTTCATGTAACTTACTTCATACAAATACACCGAATCAGCTTTTTTGACAACTGCCGGTGACGGTGACGGCGACGCAATGCACGTTATGTACTTTCACTTTTAATACTACATTGCGTGACCCTACAACGATGTGGTAATATGCAATTTCTTGCAGCACCATCTATCGCGCGTTAGCCACAAGGTTAATTTTAGAAACAAAAATTTGAATCAAAAACTTGCGAATCGCTTAAACAACCATGCATTAGTCATTTAAAATACATGAAAACAATGTTTTTGCATTATTCTATAAGTAACACTCCATAACGCAATTTAAATGTTAATCTCAAATATAATTATTTCCCAAATTTTATCAAGGTTGACCACCAAGGGAAACTTTTTAGTTATTTTTTATGGTTTTTTTTCTTTGGTGGCAGGCCAAGATAAATACAAAACTCACCATAATCACCCTGTCGTATCATTTACGATATTTGAGATATTAATTCTGTGGTCTTAAATAATAATCGCTAAGTCGGAAAACCTGAATTCGAGAGAAAACGCTTTAAAGATTTGGGTTGTAATGTCAACCTTATGGGAAAGCCAAAATATTTTCATCTATCACTTTTCAAATAGCCTAGGTAACGAGATGGGAGTTTCACTTAAACATGGAATAGTAGTTGGAGAAAACGATAGCATATATAACTCAATTCTTTCTTGAGTCGACTTAGGCGGTTATTGCTTATGACCACAGAATTATTTACTCATACCTTTGTGGACCAATATGGCAGCTACCCTGCAAACCATTTTTACAGAGTATTCTGCATTGTAAAGAAATTTTAAAGAATACGTTAAGATTTATTTCGATTTTTTTCCGAATTTTCTAAAATTAAATAAATTACGCACACTTCCATTCTTTTACGAAATTTCGGAAGAAAATCTGTGAAGCAACGAAAATAATGGTGCTATGTGAAGAATATCTTTCAGAATTTTTCCAGAATTTTCTTTATTTTTCGTACAGAAATTTCTTTATGAGTTCGTGTCAACCACTTCTTATAATTTTCTTTGAAAATTCGTAAAAAAATCGTTACAGAAATGAGATACTCCTAACGATTTCCTTAAGATTTCGGGAACTTTGGTTTGCAGGGTATGTGAGCGTAGAAACCAAGGCGAATTCATATGGGTGGTGTTATTAGAGCAGCTGATTATCAAATTCCGTCAAATTGAAATATTTTCTTTACATTTCCACACACTCGCAGAAGATTTCGGCAGCTCATTCCTGCGATTACCTTATCAATGTACCTTGGTAGAAACCAAAATCGATAAGAAGGTATCGGTAGAGGAATATTATGCATACCACACAGTACCACTCACATTATTCAATCGTAAGCCCAAATCCACAGTAATTTGAGCTGAAAATGTTGACAAAGTGCAAACACATTTGTTTTGGGATTCATGTGCGTTTATTTGCAACTCGCCACCCAACAAACGAAAAAAAAATAAAAATAATAATGATGATATTTGAAAATAAGAATAATAAAAAAAATAAGATAAACAGTATACAATGAAAGACTGGGAGCGGAAACTAGGACTTTCCGCCCGATCACATCAAGGAATCGCAAATTCACTATTCCTGACCGCCAATTCCACAACGTGGATCGGAATTTCGGCCTTTCCGACCACGTGAAAGATACAAAGGCATAGTGGAGCGGAATCAAGGCCTTTCCGCCCACAGCCTATACAACAAAAATAATTACTATCAAAAACGGCATCAAGGTCGACTGGAGACTCGGCCTCGCCAGCTACCTATGGCCTTAAACTAGTTAAAATTTTCGGTATCTACCAATATAAGTGCAATGAAATGTTTCAACCACGTTCTTATAACCATTCTTTTCCAGTATCAAGGAAGCCGAGACGAAAATTGGAGGCTCCAAATCAGCACATAGCAATACCAATCAATTTATGAATGTAATTTGGTACATATTTCTTTTTACATTTATTTGTTAAAGGATGTAGGTGTGGTGGCTGAATGGCGCGACAGATGTTGCTTATAGCAACGGGGCCGGTATGTTTAGGCCTGTAGCCTAAACCAAACAATACAAGACGGACCCCCTAATGCTTATTTATATACGCACACATGTATGCACATGTATGTATTAGGAAATAATCAGAAATCTGATAGATGTTTCTCGCCAAATTTACCATCGTTAAGTTTCAAATAGTTACTGTATGGAGGTTGGACTTAATTTACTGAGATCATCGCCGGCACTTCTTTTCTGAAGATCATCGACGAGCGACGTCAGCCATCACATCCCGCCACAATTGTTTAAGGTAATATTCCAATATACTGTTAAGGCATACCTAGTGAATTTAGCAACTTTATAATAAACCATTTATATCTTTGCGGAACACTAATTTGTTTCATTTAAATTTCTTGGTTTATTTCATTACGCATTGGTGCAAATACTGCGAGCACTAAGGTATCAAGCACACAGTATCTTGCAACTTCGCACAAGCATTTTTTAAGGGTGTCAGAAGAGGGCTGCCACCTGTTGAAAAAATTCAATTCAAATGATTTAATAAATTAAATGGATTTGCAAAAGATGGGTATCAATCGAAATGGGCTTGAAAATAATTTATTGCTGAACTGTATTTAAGAGAGTTGCCATGTGCTTAAAACATCGAATTCAATTTAATTCATCAGTTGATTGAAATATGTATAACGATCCCAGACGATAAAAAATTGTAATTGAAAATACGGTTAAAGGGGTTGCCAGCTGTTTGAAAAGTCAAATTTGTTTTACTTTTTGTGAGGGTCATCACATCTGCGTCGTTATTTCGAATTTGCAAAATGAGTAGTCACATTAGAAAACTGGGATTCTACATAGACGTGCAATAAGGTTTTATTTTTGGAAGTTAGAACCGTTTTAGAGGTACAGAGAGATTTGTAATTCGATGCAATGAAAACCGACGCCATGCGCGACCTCTCATCACTCAGAAATGGTCTAGGTGAATCATGAGGAATATTTTTTGAGGGTTTTGAATAGGGTTTCACCTGTTAAAAAAGTCAAATTCAATTTTGGAGTTTGAACGCCATGCGGGTTCACTAGTCTTCATATATTGGGTGCGGTCAGAAATGCATCAAACCAAAGCATCAGTTTTTTTTTATTTCTAATCTATAAAAGATAGAAATGTCAAACATGCGCAAATAAGACATTTCTATCAATTATAGTTACGGTGACCATCCGTTCTGTATTATACGGGACAGTCCTCTTTTTTGACCCATTGTACTGTTAGTTTATTTATTTTATACGGGACGCCAAATGTTCTGTATTTCTTTTAATGCTCTGTATTTGTCCCGTATTCGGTGTTTCCATGCCTTGAACCAGTTTTAAGTTATTATTTTCTAATTTGAATGCCTGTGATTCGAATTCAGGCATACATACGGTGACCAAAACAGAAATTAGGACCAGACATTTTAGTAAGTTTTGGCTATATTTCCTTGGTTTATTTAATGTTAATTATTTATTTTACCATATAATACAAATTTTCAACTTTGTGCAAAAACTATAAAAATTAGTTCTGCAAGGTTTCACTAAAATTTCAATCTTTATATTTAGAATCTTTCGAAAAAAAATTTGGTTTGTACTTTTGTAATTCATTAAAATTGCGTATTATAAAGTGCAAGTGCGAGTGGAAAGTGCTGCTCATTTGCTTCTCTTTTAAAAAATGGTCGAACAAAAAAAAAATTCCAAAAATTAATGGTAAGCCTTAGCGACTTAAAATTACACTTTATTATACTAAAATTTAACAGATTTTACGGGGTAAAAATCTCGAGAAAATTATCCTACAAATTTGTTATGTTACTATAAGGATACCATTTCAGGGCTAATACATCTAGGATCATTGAAAAAGGCTTTAAGATCTGTAAGCTGTTGTGGAACAAATTTGAACAATTATTTTTGTCCCGTATTCGGCTCTCATAAATATGGTCACCGTAATTATAGTTTAGAAATAAAATGGACTGATGCTTTGGCTTGATGCATTTCTGAACGCACCCATTTTTACGTACTTCGATTTTAATAATAAAGCAATTCATCTAAAAAGGCCTCGTTACTACCTATACCTCGTAAACTTACCTAATTTTGTATGGAAAACCACTATATTTACGAGGTATATGTTTATATGAATACCCTGAATACAAATAAAACAAATTTTTTACACTTTTAAAATTGTATTTTGTTTCGTATGCCTATGTAACATAGTACATTTTGGTGTGTCTTCTGCAGTTATAAAATTTATCGAAAATGGATACAGCAATTAAAATTGAGGATTCCAACTGTAATGTTCATCAGTCGTCTGCATTTAATAATAGTTCTTCGATTTCTGCTATTTTACAAATGTGTCAATCAAGTTGTAATGATTATGCCGGTATTCTTCCCGCTCATCCACATGACATTATTAGCGTAAATAGTGTTGAACTTAATGCACAAACATCGTTAAGTGATGACTCTGGTGTTCCACTTACTACAAACAGCTCAATATCTAGTGGAGATTCGTATCGAATGGGCTTATGCAGGCATGAAGTTGAAGTACGTCTTACTTTAAATCATAATGCCGGATTTCCACTCGACTTTAAATGACACAAGTTTCATGACAGAGTTGAAAATTAAAAAATACCTGTTTCACTAGATTAAAACTACTAGCCATTAGTATTTCTTCACATGCCATTTTTAAATGGTACAAAGTTTTTGTCATTTCAGTATCTAGTGGAAAATCGGCGTAAAACTTGTTTGATTTTATGACACAAAGCTTCTTAATTTGTGTTTTCAGATTGTTGAAAGTGATGGTGAAGTCTCTCAGTTTGATTCACTTGATAATTGCTCCGAAGGGGGAATGAGCGCGGAAAATTTCAATACATTAAAAAAGGGCCCCTCGGCACCAATAGACCCCCCCATAGAATTTCAAGACTCACCTAATATAGCAGTTGGCCGGTCCATTAAACAGCAACTGAGGCGTTTATCATCTTCACATTCATCTCTAGAACAATCAAAAGACTCTGAACGTAATGAAAGCAATATCCGAGTGGACAGAATTTTTTGTAAAGACACAGATATAGAAGTGGCTGCTCAATATTTTGATAGAACACGTAAAGAACTTTACCTCATGAGGAAACCTATATACTCAAGTGACTCAATTCTTAGCAATAATATGGAAAACGCTTATGATGAGCCCAATAACGCGATAGGCAATTATGGTTTTGACAATGCTCAAATGACGGAGCCGCATACGTTTTCAGTTTCACCACCTTTACCACCAGCATCACATACTTCTATTGAACAAAAAAAAGATATATGTTCATATTATCAAGACCAAACTAAGTACTTTAAGGCAATAACATCGGAACAAGATAGCATAATAAGTGCTGCACATAAGTTCAATACATCTGGTCTATCTGAAATCCACGATTATGATCTATACTATGGATTAAAGAGAAACACGTTTCAATGCGAAAACGGCATACAAAAAAATGTACTTTACAGTCCTCGAAATCTTTCAAATTATTGTCACGGTCACCACGTTTATACAGGTAAGTTCATTATGACAATAGAAAAAGTATATACCTTCGAGTTTGTTGTTAAATGAAGACTGAGCATTATTTTGCATTCATATTTTCGAGTACAAGCTATATATTTGAGTTTATATTTTCTTAATATTTATTGAGGTTATTAATTCAGTATCTACTCATTATGACCGATACCTTTTTTAATAAATATCTAGTTTTCATTTAATATTTTGGTTATTTGGTTTAAAATTTTATCAATACTTTGCAGAATTTTTAAAACTTCGCAAAGTATGAAATGTGAATTTAAAAAATTATAAAAAAATCCTCAAAGTAGCATCTAAATCTTCAATTTTTTAATCAGGTTTTTCAGAATTTTTTGAGTATTTGAGTTTTATAGCCCATTCTATTCTAGTATAATAAAGTGCAAGTTTGAAGTTGCTCAAAAGGCCGACTGATTTTTGATAATTTTTCTGACTGTATTACGCCTTTTTTCCATACAAAAAAAATTTCGAATATACTTTGTATGGAAGAAAATGCGTTACCTAAAATCCCAAAAATTATCGCGATTTGTCAGAAACTGTAGACTGGCACTTTATTATACTAGAATTTAATAGGGTATAAAACTGCATACTTAAAAAAAAAATCTGATTAAAACGTTTAAAATTTAGGTGCAACTTTGGCGATGTTTTATATTATTTAAATCCAAATTTCATACTTCGTGCAAAATTATATAAGTTATCAATATCACGAGAACGCGTCGCGACGGTCGTACTCTGCGGACGTTTTTTTATATCGCTCAACGTTTTGTTATATTATCTGCTAAAACTATAAGTTAATTAGGGTACTCACAGTTCTATATTATCTACTGTGTTAATTTTGCCACCTGGTAACTTTAAAACATTTTACCATGTGGTAACTTTGTTTGTTGTTGGTTCCCATACTAATTAGAGATAACACTTTTGGGCAAAATTACTAGACTTTGTCTCATGTTTATGTTCTGTGTTAAACTGGCATCTATCGCTGCTTGTACATACATACATGAATTTCGCTTTGGGCGCAGCGCTGCTTGTACATAAGTTTCTCTTTGCGCCTGCCTGGAGCTGGCAAAGGTTCTTTTTTTTTTTTATTTTTGCGCTGTGCTAGCTGAGTATAAAAAAGAGAAGAGAGAATAGAGAGAAATATGTATGTGGTTTGTTGATGCTCTCTAAACACAAACGCGTGAAAGGCAAACGGTCTAGCAATGCGTGGTATTGTTGATCAACTTAATACTTTATTTAAACATAAGGGTTGCTCACAGTTCGAGTGTGTTATCTTGTTAAAGTTGCCACCTTTTCACTTTAGAAGTAAACTGTGAATACCCTAAATATTTTTTCATGTGTATCAGGATGGTGCTAAGTTTTATTTTGAGTCATTGACGCATAACTTTGTGATTTAATTGCAATAAATTAATTGATAAAATCAAAATTTAGTATGCCGTGCTTGTGCGGTCAAAAGGGTTGATAGTAGAAGGTGCTGTGTGCTCACTGCAAAGAGTATTTTTACTTAAAATGTGTTGGTGTCTTGTAGGCTGATGTGGATTTTCTTCTCACAGCTGAAAGCCTTTCTTTTGTAAAACATGCATGGCTGATCGCCGTAACTCTCGCTCGTCTTCACCTTCTACTGTTTTGGTTGAGAAAGCTAATATAAACTCTCCCTCATCGGAGTCACAAAAAAAAAAAAACAATCGTAGCAGCAAACGAAAGTGTTGACGCCACTGTCTAAAATATATTATATTATACTAGAGTAATCTACTACTTTCATTTTTATCGATAAATTTAAATGACTTCTGTCACGAGCCGTAAGAGGAGTTCTAGAATTGCGCCAATTGTACTTTAATTAGTTCATGCATAAAGTAGCTCGAAAGCAATTACTCAAGATCTCGTCATACGTCCTGGTTTTTATACCTTAAAGTATGTATAATTTAACGATATCATATTTCTCAAATTGATCAAATTTAAGTTTCTATCCATAATAGGAATTTTAACATACATACATGTATAATTACATGTATAGAAACTATGCAAAATAAAACCTGAATTCACATCCAGCTGGCGTAGTTTTCGTTCAAAATTCTAAGAAAATCAGGGCGCTTTAATCCGTTGAGAAACTGTCTCAACATTTTAAAATTCTTTAAGAATTTGCGGCCACGGTTGCTGTCAACGACGTTGCTGGTGAAAACGAAATACAATTGTACTGCAGATCTACACGTGTCCATTGCTAACCTCAAAGTAAGTACAATATGAATTCCTATGCTTTAAAAGGTCAACCACAACCCCCGCACTGTTCACATTGCGAAAATGACAATAGCGAGGCCTACGTATCCTGCGTTAAATGTCACAAGGCGTTTCACGAGTCCTGCGCCTATAACGTTTCTGATTCCTCCCCAAAAGTATGGAAATGTCTGAATTGTATAGAATCGGCTTCGACGTCATCGGCGCGAAGTATTTCATCCGTACCTCTACCTCAACAAAGCACTCAGCTGAACTCGAAATTCAACGATTGGAGGAAGAGAGGCAAATGGCTATCGCGCGTGTTCAGGAATTCCTCGATAAAAAATATAAGATTCTTGAAGCACATAACCTTAACAATGTCCCTAAGCATAAAGAAAATCTAGAAGACTCTATTTCAGCAAAATCTATTTAT